CATCCCTGGCACCCACCGTGCCCCCCAGCATCCCCACACCCCTCTGGTACCCACCATGTGCCCCACCATCCCCACACCCTTGGTACCCCCGTGTCCCCCAGCATCCCCACACCCCTGGTACCCACCATGTTCCCCAGCATCCCTGGTACCCATCGTGTCCCCCAGCATCCCCACAGCCCTGGTACCCACCGCTGCTTCTCCCAGCATCCCCACACCCCTGGGACCCACCATGCCCCTCTCCCCAGCTCCTCCATACCCCTGGCACCTCTTAGCTCCCACCCAAAGCCCTGTACCCCTCCTGGCACTGCCATCAGCACCCCCTGATACTCCCTTACCCCTGTTCTCCCTCCCATACCCACCGCAGCCCCCCCCCCATATCCCTGTCCCACCGTGGCACTGCCAACACCACAAAATCCATGTGTCATCCCCCTCATAGCATCCACCGTGACACCCCCAGTGTCCCTGCACCCCTCCTGGCACCACAGCACCCACCTCATTAGCTCTGCCCCACCACTGCCCTGCTGGTTCCCCATATCCCCCCACCATAGCACCCACTGTTGCACACCCCTGGTACCCCCATCAGCCACCTACATCCCCCCAGCACCCCTTTAAAGACAGTCATGTCTTTAAATCATGCACAATTCAGGAAAAACAGGGAAATGTCAAAGCTGGGTTTGCAAAAGGATCGTACACAGAGAGCTGCTGCCCTGCACCGACTCTGGAGGAACAACCTAGATTTGGCATTTATGGAAGAAGAAAAAGCCCTGCGGCTCCCTGCTACCCACCAGCAGCAGCCTGCAAGGTTTCAAATTGGTCTGAAGGTTTCAAAGTGGTCTGTGGGGCAGAAAATGGCAAGGGGAGAAGGTAAACGGAAAATAATGCAAAAGGCCAAATGGATTTAAGAAGTCAGTGGTTCTAGACCAGTTAGACTGCTTTCTTTGGAAGCACCGGATCCCCTTGTTGGGAAAGGGGAGTGGATCTCCTCCAGCTGGAGCTAATGCAGCTTGGTAAGGGTGGATATTAACTACTGACCCAGCTAGAGGAGGTGGAAATTAGTGTTGGATGTGTGACCTGGGTGAGGATGCAGCTGAGAGAGCTGGATTGGAAAACATTTACGAGTGAAGCTCTTCAGCAGCCAAGCTTGGGACTAGTTGTGTTTCAGGTTTCCTTAATGAATCTCACGAGAGACAGTGGATAAACCCACTGAGGACAAGCTCCATGGGGAAGGAGGCTGGGAATATTGCATGGAAATGACCCATTTGGCGCAAGGCATCTCCTTGTTGTCTGGTTGGCTCCCCTTGGGCTCCTGGTAGCCCTGTGGGCAAGTGGAGGGGCAAAGCTGGGGTGAGAGCAGCTGCTAGAGGAGACCAGGGCATTTCTGCCCATGAGTGGAGTCTGTGGAGGCACCTGGGAGCCCAGGGTACCACCATGCTCATCCTGGCCAGGGAAGATGCATCCAGGAGGGAAGAGGGGAGGAAGGACCCCAGGGAAGGGAGGATCTGGTCCTTCAGGAGAACATGGCAAGAGCTTGACCCGGTGGGTCAAATAACCAGGGATAGAGGCAGATACTTCACAGCTGTTGCCTGGTTTTGGAAGGATTAAGGTGCCAAGGTGGCTCCTGGTGCTGCCTCAGTGCTCCCAAACCTGGCGTTTCCTTGGAGCACATCTTCCTTGTCTGCTTGCAAATGCTCTTTCCAGGTGAGCTGCCAGGGTCCTGGTGTCCCCCCGCGAACGGAGACGGCTGGATGCAGCCAGGAGATGCTGGGGCACTCGTGCATTCCCTGTGCATGCACAAACCGCCTCTTTTCTCTGTGAGGATGAGCAAAGGGACCCAGAGAGCTGAGAAATGAGCTCAAATTCAGCCTCTCCGGAGCTCAGGGGAGCTCTCATCACCTGCTCCCGTGCATCCCTCCTTTCACAGCAAGCCCTTTAATTTGCTAGCAGTTCTGCTCAAGCACAGACAGTCTCCATAGGGTTTTTTTTCCTCCAGGAATTGGTACACACATGGAGAGCCGCCCACTGCAGCGCTCAAAGTGATAGCTAAACCCAAGCAACTTCGTGCTGCAGAGCCTCCTTCCTGCCGCTTTCCTCCCCAAAACCCTTCAGAAATGAACAGTTTGGCTACAGGGAGGGGGGTGATGGCAGATGGAGAGAAACCTGGAGCTGTGCATGGGAGGAGAGGCCTCCAGCTGAGATCCACAAGCAGGAGCTGCTGTGAGATGAGCAGGGAATGAGGAACAGGGGCTGTTCCCAGCCCGTTTTTTTGTTTGCAAACTGCAAGTCCTTCAGCTTTTACTTGTAGACTGCATGGAAAATGAATCAATGCCCATTCCTAAGCCTTGGAGGCGCGAAGCTCTGGGACTGGCTGCTCTGGAGTGGCCTGAGGAACATCTGCATTGCAGAAGACAGGGTCTTTCCTGCTCCTTTTCCTTGTGCTTTCAGCAACGGCCAAGGGATGATGGAGCCGCGATACCCCTTTTGCATCCAGGCAGGATTGCCCTCCCTGCTGATGGGGTTGGGAAAGCTGGATCTCCCACGGCTCCTCTTCTGCACCCGGATTTGGGAATGCAGCTCCGCATGCAGGGCTGGGTCGGTGCTGGTCCAGCAGGATGGAGCCCTCCCTTTCCTGGCTGGTTTTATTGGATTGCTGCAGGATGCTGCCCGGAGGGATCAGGGAAGCAGCGTGGGGTCTCCCTGCCCAAGGAGCGGATGCAACGCATGGGGCTGTAATGCTCACGCGTGTCTCTGCCCTGGGTTTGCAATATATTAGCATCCCATTAGCACCCAAGCATCACTTAGAGCCTAGTCCAGGGACTGCTGTTGATGGAAGGGGCTGAAGTCAGTCCCCAAACCCGGTGCATTTGGTGCCACCCACAAACATGAAGAAAAGAACGAGAAAAAAAAAAAAACAGAAAAACACAGCAACTTTTTGTAATTAAAATAATGGATCTCGGTGGTTTGACAAATGGGAGGCTGATGTGATTTTTCTGAGCGTGGGAAGCGAAGAGCTAGGAAAAAAATAGAGAAAAAGAGTTAAGGGGAGAAATTTTCATTAATTTTGGAGTTAAGCTTCTGTAGCATCATCAT